ATACAACTTATTTAGCATTGCTGACTTTAAGTTATTTACTACTTTATATTAAACTACAGTATTGTAGTAAGATTACCGGTAATATAAAAATAAAAACTAACCTTGATAACTAACTTAAACATTATGTAAAAAATAAATGATAATATTTGCAACTACATTATGAATGTTATTATATTATAATAAAATGTTTATATAATTCACAGCATACTAATGAATCAGAGTCCATTTAACTGTATATAAAAAATAAAATTTTATTTTTCAATATTCTAGCATTGCTGCCTTTAATTTATTTAATATTTTATTTTCTGTCTATTCATATTAATAGAATTCATATTTAATGATACAATTATTCAGTAGACCTGTATACTATATTGTAAAATATCAATATCTATTTAAATAAACTGTAGCTATTCAATAACAACATAATTATTTTCAATATCACGACCATTAAAATTGTACAAGCAATTAATTTGTATTTTTTAAATTCATTTTCTAATATCTAATTCATTATAATTCTTTATGATTCAAAATACAGATTATTTCTATCGCTATAATAATAAACATAATGGACTCGGTTTTTAATATTAAAATTTTGCAGCACTTATAATCCAGCAAATTCTGTAACAAACAACTTAACATTCATACATTAGCTTTAAATGGGCTTCATTATAAATATTACCATGCTGTATTCTATTAAATAATTATGTATGCATTAATAAATTCTAGTAAACTATAAAAAACATTGACAAACAAAGTAATTACAATGTTATACTTATATTTGAAAGTACATTATGAATTATATTATATTACAATAATAAGTTATCTAATTTACAGTGTACAAATGATTTTAAACAATGTTTATTGTCAATATGCTATAATAGTGTAATTTAATTAGGTGTAAATGTAGTACATTATTAATTCACTATTTACTTATGACACATTATATTAAAATTCTGTATAATAAATTAATAACTATAATACATATGAACCTAATATATAGAAACAAATGGTTTAAGTTTGGTTAACCATTACAAACATTTTAAACACCTTTCTGACATTTTAACTTATTTAACAGATTGGAAAACATAAATTAATTACACACGATCTACCTTGTTCAAAGTTGATGCGATATGATAGTCTCGTAATTACTTCTGAATACATGCCCACCAATAGGAACAATATTAACGATAAGATTACCGAAAAGGGGGCAATAAATGTGATAACGAATGGCACATACATTATGGTGATGTCAATTGTGCCCATAATTACCCAAACAATGCCATTGTATTGACACCAATACGTGTTGTCATATTCACCGATTGTATTAACGAATATCGTATCAAATCTTCGGTCAGTTTTTGTATAAATCAATAGATTTTCATTAATTGTAAATTAATTTACTTCATGGCCAGTTGAATCAGAACACCATTTAAAATTATTCATCCAGATAAATCCTTTATAATTCCTATCAATAGCAACCTATTTAGGACTCGTCTATTATATGTCATTCATCGCGGTATGTCTTGCGATATATCTATTCAACAGTTTATACGTAATGTCTGTCTTCTGGTTAACGGCGGCTGATATTAGGCCCACAAATATGAGGGGCAGTAATGTGACGCCAACCGCATAGATTACAATCAGTCGTATAATGAATGATATGTTTAGAAACAATAAGACATAGGCTATAGTAATGCCAGTAATGCCGTACAATATCCACATAATCGCAATGTATTGACACCAATAAGTGGTGTTATACTCATTGATCTCAAGTATGATATCATTAAGCGATTGAATTGTTTGCCGAATGAATAGCGTATTAAATCGGGAATCGGTTTCGACATGTGTTTTGAGGATTTCATTGAATGCCCGCAATTTGTGTCGAAAATAGAGACAAATAAGATAAAAGTGAATCAATAGATACAGTATTTGTGGTATGCAGTAATGGTCCATAAATGTGAACAGGATGGTTTGCGGGATACCGTACACAATGATTTCCATTAGTGAACAACTTATGTAGTATGATAGTAGAGTATATATTATATAAATGAACACTCCGTAAATTTGCAATTGTCTGACAATTTTGAACAAAAGCCGTGATTTGCGACATAAATCCCAAACTTGATGCCTATCCGTGAGTCCAATCTGTTTGGGAGTCATATAACCGGCAAACATATCAAACAGCGAAATAAATGTGGGTTTTATACCCCGCTTATAGTTATAGTAATAGAGGGCACGAAATAATATGTTTGATATAATGAAATTAATAATACAAATGTTTATGTGTTTAGGGATGCCCTGTAGATAAGCCAGATCACCAAACATAATCTTGATAATGCGATACTCGTTTGGTATGAATGACACGATTGTTAATTGTGTTAAATATATCCCCAAAATGGAGTTGATGAGTTTTGGATGATAAATCTGCGATCTGGTAGCACCTTGCTCATATTGGCTACGGGTGTACAATAAGCCAATTCTATACAATTGATTGCTGGCTGATTTTGTTATTAATTCAACAGGGATAATTCTATTCATATTAATAGAATTCATATTTAATGCTACAATTATACAGTATGTAGACCTGTTAGTACTGTAGGACTGTAATGTAAAATATCAATATCTATTTAAATAATCTAAACTTATTCAATAACATCATAAATAGCACATTGCTTCAAATGTCTCGACCATTAATATTGTAGAAACAATTAATTTTTATTTCTGAATTCATTTCCATTTAATATTATTCTTAATAATTCTTTATTATTCAAAGTAATTTCAATGTTATATTTGTATTTGAAAGTACATTATGATTATTATTATATTACAATAATATGTTTTTAAGTTATGTTACTGTAATTTATAAAATATTCGTTTCGTTTTTTGCTAATATAATGTAATCGATTAATTGTAAAAATGGCTAAACTACTGTTTATAACCTATTTAATGAATAACATTGTCAGAAATAAGTAAAATATTCTGTATAAATAAACTGTAATTTTTCAATAACATCATAATTAGCACATTATTTCAAATGAGACGACCAAATTAATATTGGGGAAACAATTAATATTTATTTCTATTGCATTCATTTTCATTGAATATAATTCTATATTATTCAAAATGTTTATATCTGGTTCAAGATATCGGATAAGACCAGACAAATTTTAGCTTATTTTTACTGCTTACAAACTTTTCTTGCTTACGACTCAATATTAAAATCTTTACTGTATAAAGTCTATGAGTTTAAGTTAAAAAGATTTTAATATTGAGTCGTAAGCAAGAAAAGTTTGTAAGCAGTAAAAATAAGCTAAAATTTGTCTGGTCTTATCCGATATCTTGAACCAGATATCGCTAATAAATTATTAGTATTAGTAATAATAAACATTATGGACTCGGATTATACAGCAAATAACAAACAACTTAACATTCATACATGTTTAATTGAGTAATATAATTATTATCAACAACTAATTTATCATTACTATTTGTAGTCCATTTAATACTGTACATACAGTATTTGCCATTGTACAGGCACACTCAGTTTAGTTACATCTAAAACCACAAGGTAAATATCATAACTTCAACGTTATGTAATGAATATAACAATAAATAAAATTATAATGGGTACTGGTAGACAAAGTCCGCAATTATAACAATAAAGTAAATTAATTTACTTCATGGCCCGTTGAACCAGTACCATTTTCAAAAACCATTTAACATTAATAATTAACCCTTAGAACTAAATAATAACTATTATCTTAAAACATTTATAATTATACTCTTGTAAAATAGTTATTCATTTAATTAAATGTACGGTAATTTCAATTACTTTTTTATTTTATTATTCATATTATATTTTAGTTTGTTTTCAGACACACGGGTAATATTATTTTACATAGCAAACATAATAACATTATGATTACTATTAACTTATTAGTTTCAATTACTTAAGATACAGGTACAATATTATTCAGGTTACAATATTACTGCACTACTTACTTATTATTTGAGTACATTTATATAAAAACATCTAGTTTGTTTTTCAATTTTTTATGGATCACTACAGAATAAAATATAATTTGTTTTTCATATTACAGTGAGATTCAGATATTATGCAAGGATTTTGAAAGTAATTTATGAAAAAAGTATTGCATTTAAAGCATTGGAAACACCACCAAACTGTAGCCTATTTATCTGGCTTTCATTTGATATGTTATTTGACATTAAAATATTTGCCACAATAATTTTTATCTACTTTTAGTGGGATGACCACTAGTAAATTCTTTCCAGTCTATGAATAACTCTATGCATTATTACAATAGGTTTCGATTTAAGCAAAAATAACATAATTTGATAAAAGTTTAAACTTTATTTATAAATTAATTAATCACGACATTCACTTAATATTGGTTTTAAAACAACAAATAATAACTGTTGATCAGTTTTAATTCATTAATTAAGTAAAAGTTATATTTTAAAACCAATTTATAATTGAAAATTAAAAAAACTTTCATGGAAAGACTGGAATAGTTATCATTCCACTAAAAGTCGATAAAAATTATTGTGGCAAATATTTTAATGTCAAATAACAGTTTTGAAATGAATGTAAGTCTTGTTTGAATTTTGTATATTTAAATTTTAAAACAATATTTATTTGATCGCTATTATTTTAATCATAGCTTATTTCCACTGTTTTGCCTGTAGTTTACAAAATTGCTTGTAGTGTACAAAATTGTATTATTCATTATTGCAACAGGTTTTAGTAAATTGTGTTATATTTTAGTATATTACTTAATTAATGAATTAAAACTGATCAACAGTTATTATTTGTTGTTTTAAAACCAATTTATAATTGAAAATTAAAAAAACTTCCATGGAAAGACTGGAATAGTTATCATTCCACTAAAAGTCGATAAAAATTATTGTGGCAAATATTTTAATGTCAAATAACATATCAAATGAAAGCCAGATAAATAGGCTACAGTTTGATGGTGTTTTCAATGCTTTAAATGTAATACTTTTTTCAAAAATTACTTTCAAAATCCTTTCATAATATCTGAATCTCACTGTATTTAATATGTTTTATAAAACATGTTAAATATTACTATACCTTTTTTCCAGTTCATATGAACAGTAATTGTGATTATAGCTATCACTACAATCATCACGATTATTCTTGATCATTTTTGTTTATATCAGGCTAATATTTTTATTAATTAATTATTTTTAAAAATATACATACCTGTCCCTTGCTAGCCCAGTAGTAGGACTTTGAGTTCCAGTAGCAAACAATACGATAATCAATGCTATGATTGTCGCTATGAATAGCATCTGGGTCTATATATTTTTTTAATTTAATTATTTAAAAATTAAATTTGTTTAAACATGTATATTTAATATGTTTTATAAAACATGTTAAATATTACTATACCTTTTTTCCAGTTCATATGAACAGTAATTGTGATTATAGCTATCACTACAATCATCACGATTATTCTTGATCATTTTAAAGTCAACAAGATTAATAAGTATTTTAAAATTAGTTCATCACAATACTTACGTGAACGTGATAACTGCCACTTTACCACGGTTAACTGACATGTCTTATGATAATTAGTTTTATAAAGTCAACTAATTTTTAAAAATTTTATAAATTATTTTAGAGACAAAACTCAATAGTAATAAAATAATATTATAATAGTTATAATACAATATTTATTTGGTAATGTTCACATTGTGTATGATTTAAGTTAGTTACAAAATTATTGATTCATATCCTGGTGATTCACGTCAATGATATCCATATAAAATTAGTTGACCAAATATGTACTACCAGTCCTTATATGATAGCTAAAAGCATATATAATTTATAAATTATAATCAATATTTTAAACATTTCTCTTTCTATGAATTTATAATGGGAATAATCGATAAATTAATTCATCGAGAATGTTTATTTCTAAAAGTTTTTAATAGGGTATATTTATACTATGAATAGATGAATTTAGACTGTAAATTAACTAATGGGATCATTATATTTACTAAACATTTTTAAAATTTAAAATTTTGGTAAAGATTTTGCATTCAGTTTAAACTTATTATTTTATTTATAATAAAAATATGTAAGATATAATTTGTTTAAATAATACAACAAACACTAAACAAAATTAGTAAAAGTATTCATAGTATATAATAACTTTATTTTTAAATTAATAGCATGTATAATTCACATTGAGATTTAATTTTTTAAATTAATACTAATTGTAAATACCATATTATAAGTACATAATTAGTAGGCAATCAAAAAACAAATTTTTCGTATAACATAATTTTATAACAATTAAAATTAAAATTATAAATATATTATTTATGCGTTGGTCAGCCTATCTATGAGGTGCAAACACCTCCACACGATTTTACACACAGGGCTGTCGTATTAAAACGGTTATCATTGTCATCGCACCCGCCGTATATGAATGGCTCGCACTTGTGGGAAGTTGTGTTACAAAAGTATCGGGGAAAGTGGCCATAACATAGTCCCTCGTCGGGTGCTGAGTAACAATCTAGGTAAATAAATAAATATAAATAATATTAGTCAATACAGTATAAAATAATTTTACATAATATTATTTTGTAACTGTGTATAAATATTACATGATTTTAATTTATCAAATATAAAATTTGTTAAAATAATATTTTCATTGATCCACTGATTATTGTGAACCAAAAATTTATAAAATTAATTTTAATTATAATCAATCGTAAAATATAACTTTTATTACAGTTTTTTCTATAAATACACAATAAAGTAAAATAATGTTTACATTAGATAGGGAGCTAATATTTTACAAACATGATTATTAACTAGCGTATTTTATGGACTTATGGCAAACATAAACCAGAATTAACATTATACATACCGGTACGCATGTGTTACCAGTGCCAACGTAAACATTATAATAAAAGTAAAAAAATATTTTTTTATTGTGGATGTAAAATATTATAATTCATTTCCACATTTGATTAAATAATATTAAAAATGTTTAATTATTTGTCAATGTATTAATCAAAGTAATTAATTTAATAATATTATGTATATTATTGCTATTAATTAGTTAACTTATGTATTAAATCCACTATAAAACTAGTATTTATTTATACCGTGTTAATTTTTAAAATTAACCTAAACATTATAGTATTATAGTAATTAACCTAGAATGTGAGCATGGTGAGTAAATACATTGTGATTGAGGTTAGTATATTTATTAATTAATGCTATTATATATTTATTTAACATAATTGCATTTTGAATTTAAAAGTATCATAGGAACATAAATTAGCAAGTACTTAATGTGCTAGCTAGCTAATATAATTTAATTTTGATCAAATATATTTGAACAGTTTATATTAAAATTAATGATTTACTTATGACAACTTAAGTAACCTAGTTACAAAGCCCGTATAAATAATATTAAGGCTATAATAAAATGCTGGTTGAAGGACATGGATAACATTAAAATGACATTAAATTGACAAAAATCAATAATTTTATATTAGTATTAGTTTATGTAAATATAACTCGTTTTGCATTTAAATCATATTTGACTAATATGCAACACTGACCTTGCTACTATTTAATTCAATAAATCTAAATAAGTAAGTTTACTGATTAATACCTAGTTGCTAAGCTGAGAGATTAAGTGGCTATTATATATTTTTGCCAAAAATAATAGTAAAATACTTTTTAATAGTATACCTCTATGATAATAATTTATCAAGCTAATTCATAATAATAAACTAGTACATTAAACATTATTACAAAACATTATGCACCACGTTTATAAACAAATATATTTAACATGAACTCATATCAAGGTTTTATAACTAAACTACAAAAACAAAACAATTACTATGTATAACACATTTTACTAAAAAACACAACTTCCCTTGCCTAACTTACATCCATGTCCCTTAACTAGCATTACGCAAAAAATATTTAAAATAAACTACCAGTGCTTTCCCACTAATTAGCAAAAAATATTTAATAATCTCATAATAGATAAATAAAACATAAAATCTGCAAACTTGGCCAAAATTTACTGTCTATTAAAACACTAAATATTTTCATTACTTTTCAAACAGATATACAGTTCGTGTGAATAGTATTATACCGTAAACGGCATCCGATATACAATACACAACTGACCACCACTTCCTGCAAACATAAAGTTCCCAAACAAAAAACAATGACTGACACATCGATACTGGCCTACCAGGCCATGTACGTGGTGTCCATGTACCTGGGCACGTTCATCTCATACCTGGTGCCCATAGTGTTAATACAGCGCCAGCAGAGCAAAAACCCGGCACCGGGACAAGGGGTACAAGCTATGGCCAGTCACCAGCACCACCTAAATCAACAAAATAGGAGTACCCAGCGCATTTTGTCCATGTGCAACTGCGTGAGCGCCGGTATCTTTATGGGCATATGTTTCCTGAATCTCATACCATATGTGGACGAGGAGTTTCACGGGCTGTTCGCTGAGGCCCACTATGACATCCAGTTCCCCATCGGCATGTTTACCGTGATTTTGGGCCTGTTTTTGGTGCTCGTGTTGGAGACACTGGTCATGAACTGTAGGCGCCATACGTCGGGCGATACCAGTCCTGTACTACATCTGGACGATGAGGAGGAGCTCACTGTTAGTATGAGTTGAATGCGATTATTAGATGTAGAGGTCATTAGACTGTAATTAAATATATTTATTAATTTTAGTCATTGATTATTGTTAGCTAGTTTAGATAAATGAAAATTATTGTAAGTCATGACTATTTTGGTATAGTTTTGTATACTGTACATGTGTTATAATATTATTTAACATGGCTAGTCTTTAAGTCTATTTGTCTGATCTAATGTTTTTGTTTAAACAGGTGATAGCTCTCTCTCTCTCTCTCTCTCTCTCTCTCTCTCCAAAGCACTACTAGTTTTTAAATTTCTTAAATAACTATTAATTAGATGCTAAGAATATTTCAAAAATTTAAATAAATCATAAAATAATCAAAATAAATCTCTCTCTCTCTCTCTCTCTCTCTCTCTCAACACTTTCAGTCGTATATGAAAACTGTTATAAAAATGGTTTTTAATTGTGATCATACTTAAATTTAGAGTTTTGTCTACTACTAATAAAACTCATTTATTACTAACTTATAAACTACATGTCAAAATTAACCCACTACTTTTTATTGTGAGGTTTACCCTTTTATTGTTAAATTGGATATTTTATAATTAGTATAATAATTTTTATGACAATATACAAATAATAATTTCCAATAGACTGTAATGATAATTTAACTATTTTATAAGATTAATATAAAATTTAATATTAGTTTTATGGGCATTCAAGAGTCAACACGTATTAATTTATTTTCCCCATATTATAGCACGACTACCAACTTGACCATGAGCAAACACAGCAATTATTATCGGACACACATAACACGGATGTAGATAAGGATGAGTCGCACGCGGACTACCCGGTGGTCAACAATAAACACAACGGCCATAGAGTTAACACGAATGCACACAACCATCACAACCATAGCCACAGTCATAGCCATCACATGCACTCCCATTCCCACGACTTTAGTCACGTGCAGAGCGCCGGTACCACAAGTATATCGTTCTTCATNAGTCACGTGCAGAGCGCCGGTACCACAAGTATATCGTTCTTCATATTAATGTTCGCCACGAGTGTCCACTCGGTCTTTGAAGGTATGTCCACCTCATCCCAGTCCTGTAGCCATAGTCCTGTAGCATAACATGTGAGGCATAAATAGAAAGAACAAACTTTTAGGACAATTAATATTATTAATTTGAAAAAAGTTTTGAAATTTATTTTATGCTAGTATAAATGAAAATGCGCGAACTTTTATAACCCGATAGAAATTTAATAAATAAAATCAATAAACTTTAAAATAAATTAAAAATTATGTACAGTTTATTTTTATTTATGTTACTATTTAAAAACTTTAAGTATCATCATTTTTATATACAGTAGTAAATAGATATAAAAACATTACAATTTTATGTTTGCTTTGTAGCTATTTAAAAATAAAAATTAGTCTGCTAGGTAGTTCGCTTTTTGAGCATGAATTTTATTTTGTACAAAATACATAAATTAAAAGTTTTATTTAAACTAATTTACAGACTATTCACATAAAAATGAATTTCCTAGCTAACACAAAAAGTTCGCTAATACTTTTTATAATAACTATTATTCATTTGATAAATATTATCATAAACTAATACTATGTTTCTCTCTCCTATGTGGGCACCGGTAGGTCTGGCACTGGGCCTCCAGAAGGACACCACGAAAGCGATGCACCTCTTCGTAGGCATTATTCTTCACGAATGTCTCGTCGCCTTCGCGTTGGGCCTAAACTCAGCCCGTATTGACTCCACCGTCAAAACAAACGTCAAGTTTTCGGTGGTTTTCTCGTTGACAATACCCGTCGGCATTGTGTTGGGTGTAGTGCTCGGTGTGACCCCTGGCCTCCTCGGCCGCTCCATATCGGCTGTGTTTCAGGGATTAGCCGCCGGGACGTTCATTCACGTGACTTTCCACGAGCTCATCCCGGCTGAGTTTATGGGTGATCACGATATGGACGACTCCCTGTCCACTGGGGGTACGGCCGGTGATGGCGAGCACCGGAAGTATAGGCAAAAGTTGTTTAAGATTTTCTTACTATTCGTCGGATTCTGTGTTATGGCTGTTATGACACTCTTTACGAGTGATTCGCACTAAATGTATGGACCCTTAAGATAAGTGAACATGGTCAGTTGGTGGTATAAACTACCTGTCCAAAACAGTGGCTTTGATTGTTTTTAATGAATATGACTGTAATGTGTACAATGATTAGTGTATTTAAATTATTTTTAGTAATTTATTATATTTTAGTAATTAATTTTATTTATAATTTATAACACAATAAATACTTTGGATTCTAATATTAATTTATTTTACCATGTACCAAAATATTATTTCATTAAATATTTGTACGAAATTTAAATTTTGTATTAATTTTAAATAAATTACATAAATATTATAATTATAAGTAAACTGTTATAACAAACCAATATTGAATTTAATTTAAAAGTAAGTAATGTAATCGTATCAATAATTATAGATTACTGTTTTAAATCCAACGTTTTATTAGTAACTTATTTTTAATGTTTAATTATTTTTTAATTATAATAAACAAGAATCGGATGTACTGTACTAGTTACAGTATAGTCATTCACCAGCAACGCCAGAAAAATCATACTACTTACTTACCTTGTTACTAACTTTATTTGATTTACAATTTTATTATTAAATTGATTGTACAATATAAACATAATTTTCTATAGACTGTAATAACAATTTAATTATAATATAAAATTAATACAAAAATTTATTATTAGTTATATTGGCTGTAGAGAAAGCGAATGTTAATTGTATTTTTTAACCCTTTTACAATTACAGTATTACCCCTTGACCATGAGCAGACACATCAGTTAATATCGGACACACATAACACGTATGTAGATAAGGATGAGTCGCACGCGGACTACCCGGTGGTCAATAATAAACACAACGGCTATAGAGTTAACACGAATGCACACAACCATCACAACCATAGCCACAGTCATAGCCATCACATGCACTCCCATTCCCACGACTTTAGTCACGTGCAGAGCGCCGGTACCACAAGTATATCGTTCTTCATATTAATGTTCGCCACGAGTGTCCACTCGGTCTTTGAAGGTATTTCCACCTCATCCCAGTCCTGTAGCCATAGACATAACATGTGAGGCATAAATAGAGAAAAAACTTTTAAGACATAATAATTAATATTATTAATTTGAAAATAGTTTTCAAATTTATTTTATGCTAG